TCCCATGTCCCACCTCTCTCTCCCACCTCTTCCCCCCAAAGAGGCACCATAGTCTTTTTTTTGTTATAGACTCAATATGGGTGTAGAATGGATTACTACTAAAAGGATTTGCTAGGTGTGGATCATAGGATGAGACCATGGATTATGGTGGTCTATGGTTTAGGGGTCTACTTAAATAGTGTGGTCCTATAAGTTTTCTAAAGTTAGAAAAATCATAGAATTTGCCTATTTTAAAAATGGGATGTCTACAACTTTAAGTATTGTAAAAGCTAACCATATTATACGACATTTTTAATACCGTAAGAAGTTGAATTTTTATTAGGCACTCGAAATGTCGTAATACTATCGAACCTTATAAAACCCGAAACCATTCTCTCCTTTACAGTTCTGTTTCCACTATTTTAGGGCTCTATTCTTCTTCTCAACTTCAATATTTCTGACGCTCAATCTCTCAAGAGGTCTTTCTCTCCCTCATTTTTGTCATCTTATCAGATCTTTGAAGTAAGAAATCTTTCCCCAAATTTATTTTTTTGAGTGCTGTTATAGCATTTCAACCAATTTAGGGTAAACAGGTCCTATATAGCCAATTTTAAGTTTTTTTATCTCCCTTTCATGATTTTTTATGGGATTTGGTTTTCTATCTCTATATAGTGCTCACATGAAGTGGTAAATTGACATGAATCTTCATGACTGATTCTTTTTTTTATTACTTCGTTTTGAAAAATTAATAATATCCAAGGAAATATGGCTGACAATAGGCGCAAGTAGTGTTTTGTACAAGTATCTGGACTCGCTAAAGTCTCCAGGAACCTTGAAAAGTTTTAGAATGAGATGACACTGGATGAAATTTTAATGAATTTGACGATTTCAAAGAAGGAAAAACAATGAAATTGGGGTTCTTTTTAATGTATATTGTTTTATTACTTGTTTGTTATCCATCAAAAAGTTATGTTTAGGGAATTTATTTGTTTTTTTTGTTCATTGTTTATTTAGCAATTGTAGTCGTTCTTCTATTTTGATATTTACAAGAGCAAAATCCCTATTTTTATTTTTTTTTTAGTAAAATCCTAATTGTTTCAAGATGCTCTCAATTTGTGACTGTGTGTGTCAGAGAAAGGAGTATATA